AAAAATATATCAAAATTGCATGTGGGTACTCAAATGAAAGGTCTCAATGAGTGTAACATCAAAATGAGCTTATATCTTCAAAAATGTCAATATTTGACAAGATACAAGGTCTTTTCTTAATTATGTACCTAGAGATATTTTTTAATGCAGCCTAAATATCATCATAAATTGACTATTGGTGATTTTCAATGAAACCACTAAAAATTCTTATTTTTGATTACTAATTTAAACTTTAAAAAATTTTTAATACTGATTATTTAAATAATAAATTATCAAGTTACCATTACTAAAATAATTATTAAAAGGACTTCTGAAGACTTGTAATATAATTAATTTAATAATTTTAAAAAGCTTAAAAAAAACTTACCCTGGACAATTCAAGCGCCTGAGCGAAGAAATTCGCCGGTTCAACTTCCCCATAGCGGACCAAGTGCGGAGCAATCTCAGCAATCCTGTCCCTGACTTCAGACAAATTATCATACGGTAGATCGACCCCGGAGAACTCAGCCAGGGCCCTGACGATCTTCCAATCGGGCCTGGCCATTCCTGGGGGAGTCAATGCAGCTCCAGTCTGCTGCGCTCTGCCCTCGGTGTTGACGTAGCTGCCGGTTTTCTCGGTGTAAGCCGCCCCGGCTAAGACTACGTCGGCAATTGTCGCTCCGCGGTCGCCGTGGCTGCCGATGTAGACGATGAAAGTGTTCGGGAAGTCTTCCCGGGTGATGTTGGAGTCGTCAGCTCCCAGGAGGAACAGAACTTTCGGCTGCGACTGCTTAATTTGGCTGACTGTTGATGTTCCGTAGCCTAGATCCAAAGCTGCTACTTGCGACGCGTTTGTATGCAAGATGTTTAGTACTTTCCAGTCTGGAGAGGCCTGCAATTTTATTATTTTTTTTTTTTTAATAAAATTAAAATTTATATCAAATTGAAAGACCCCATTAGTGGCACTATAAGGAAGGGGGTTAACAGAATTTGTTATTATAGTTAAAGTACAAATATTTAATTTTTTTTGTACTTAATGCCTTCATTAATGTTTAAACTTACATAATTAATTTTTAAAATTTTAATTTTTCCAAATTTACCATTAATTATAATTATTTAAAATCCATTATTCAAACGACCCCATTAATGCCAGGGCCAATAATCCCCTGATCCAATTAGTGGCATACTACTGACCCCTCTAGTGGCGGGTCTAACTCGTATGCGTAAAATTTTTCAAAAAATATATTATAAACACTAAAGTATTATTTACAAAGACATTTATTAGAAAAAGAATTATAAAATTAACAATAATTGAATTTAAAATTATTTAAGCAAAAATATATTGTTGATGACTTTTAAAAGACTCGTATTGAGATTGTTAATAACTGGACAATCAGACAGAACGTTTATCAACGTAAACAGATTTGCTATATAAAAAGGATAGAGTGCCTTTGATTTTAACATTGCCGGTAATTAGCGCTAGAGAATTTTCATGCCCCTACTAGTGACATTTTTCTTTTTTTTTAATAATATTTATTTTAAAAAAGGTAAATAAATAATTTTGTGATTCTATAGACTTTTTAAAATCTGTAATGATTATTGCTAGTATAATTATATGAGAAAAATATTTGAAAATTCGCTTTTAAAAATGTGACCAATGTTAACCGAATTATTAAGAAATTTAAAATTAGCTTGGGGTTGTCAGTTTGGTTGAAAAAGAAAAATTTTTTTTTTACTAAAAAGATTTTCCCTGAAATGAAAATTGAACATTTGTGTGATCTAGAGGTCTTGAAGATTACAAATAAAATACTCATAATAGAAATTAATGATTAAATTGATTAAATAAATAAATAACACAATCAATTAAAGTGCCACTATAAGGGTCCCCACTCCTAATGGGGTCTTTTATCTTATAATTTTTCTTTAAATTTTATGAAATTTTTGTCTTAAAATTTATTTTATCTTAAATTTTATTCTAAATTTTAAAAACAAACCTTAGTGTGATCCCCAAGAGCCTTAGCAAGTTCCTGAGTAGCAGAAAGAATCTTCGCCCCATCAGCCCTAGCAAGCAGCTCAGCACCTAAAATAATCATGGGCTTCTTGGCATTCTTTAAAGTGTCATTGAAAGGATGCTGATTATTGATCAACTGGTTAATAATCTCCGGAGACTGTCCCAGATGTTGGTACTGGTAAGTGAGATCAACCTTGGGTCCAATGACCCCAATATTCTGTTCTCCATGCAAGTAACCCTTCCTCAACCTGGTATTGATCAGCGGAGCTTCATACCTAAAAGAACATTTTGTTATTGAAAAAATTATTAAGGTAAAAGACCCAGTTACTGACACTGCTTACGTTATTTTGAATTAAAAAAAAAAAACATTTCATTAAATAGTTTTATACATTTTTTAAAAATTAAAATTAATTAATTATGTACGTAATTAATTATATTTCCAACTGTGAAAAAAAAAATAACTTAATAAAAAAAATTCTTTAAGTCTTGAGTGACTGTGGAAGCCATTTTTAAGCTATATTCTAAGCAGCATACGTAAGAGCGTTCGTCTATCCAATCAATAAACTATTTATCATAAAAGTATAAAAATATAATAAAAACAATATAAATTAGTTAATTATTATACATTATTTAGTTTTTAATTATAATATATCACTTTAAATGACATTTATGTATTAAAATGTAGGTGTCAATAACTAGGTGGATTTTTTTAAGAACGCCGCAGTTATTGACACCCGAATTTGACACCTATTATCGAAGTTATTTCGTTGTTGACGTTGTCAATGAAATATTTAAATATTTATATTTATTATACTTAATATATTATAATAATATGCTATTATTTATAATCGTAGAGTTAAATTAACATTAAAAATTTTTTTTAACATAAAAAAAGTGTATTAATTATAATACAAGTTTAATTTATCTTTTATTGAATGATTTTATTTTATTTTAATTAAATAATGTAAACCTAACCAATAATGAATAATTTTTATAAATGAGTGTCAGAATCTAGGCCGACGTTAGTGTCAGAAACTACAACACAAGAAATTTAGAGTGTCAGAAACTAGGTCCTACAACGTTACTGTTTAAAACATTAATTTAAATTATAAGATGGTTCCATATAATTCTTTCGCGTTGATAATCTTTTAAAGAAATTATAAATTTTTTTATCATGCAAAAATTATTTACTCCAATTAAATATTGTAATAATTATAGTGTTATAACCTCTGCCGTCACTCTTAGAGTGTCAGAAACTGGGCCCTTTACCTTAGTTGAATTATATTAGAGTTTTTTTTAGTATTAGTTTCTGAAGGTGCCACTAGGTGGCGTCTAGTACATTATTTATCTCGCGAGTAGACATGTAAAGCAACCAAAATTTATTTTTAAACTTGTACTCACTAATTAGTCTAATCAATTAAAATTTTTCTAATTGTAAATCAATTTTTTAAAGCTTAAATTCTTGGAGTCGCCACTAGGTGGCGTTTAGTAGATTATTTATCTCGCATGTAAGGCAACCAATATTTATTTTTTAACTAGTACTCACTAACTAGTCTAATTACTTAACATTTTTTTGATTGAAAATCAGTTTTTTAAAAATTTAGTTTATAAAGACGCCACTAGGTGGCGCCTAGTATATTATTTTTCTCGCAAGTAGAAATGTAAGGCAAAAATAATTTTTTACACTAGTAAATACTAATTAACATGTAATTAAAATTTTCTCCAATTAAATATTGTAATAATTAAAGTGCTATAACCTCTGCTGTCACTCTTAAAATATTTAATCAAAATAAAAACAAACCTTGGATTGGTTCCAATCAGCAGAACAGCATCAGCTTCTTCAACATTCTGGATCTTGTTATTCAGCAAGTAGCTGCTCCTTAAATCAATCCCAGCGCCGTCAGTGGGGTAGCTTTGCTCAGTAGCCAAAGCTTCTCCGCCTAACTTATTAACCAGGTCCTTAAGAACGACCAGGGATTCAGCATCAGCGAGCTTTCCAGCAATCACAGCTGTTTTGTCCTTGGGAACATTCTGGAGCCCTTGAGCAGCAGCCATCAGCGCGCTCTCCCATTCGACATTCTCAAGCTTCCCCTGGGTCCTGACCATCGGCGTGATCAACCTCTGGCGCTTCAGTCCGTCGCAAGCGAACCTGGCCTTGTCGCTGATCCACTCCTCGTTCACTTCCTCGTTGACCCTCGGCAGGATTCTCAAGACTTCTCCGGTTCGAGAAGAGACCACGATGTTGCTGCCGACTGCGTCGGAGATGTCGATGCTGTCAGTCCGCCGGGTCTCCCAGGGTCGCGCTACGAATGCATAAGGCTTGCTGGTCAACGCTCCGACTGGACACAGGTCTATTATGTTCCCTGAGAGCTCTGAGAGGAACATTTTTTCTACGTAAGTACCGACTTGCATGTCGTTACCACGACCGGTTGTTCCCAGGTCGTCGATTCCGGCGACCTCTGAAGCGAATCTGATGCACCTGAAAAAAAATTTGGTTAAATTCAACTGTACTTTCTTAAATATTGAAGTTTTTTAAGATATAAGCTCATCTTGATGTTACACTCATCAAGAGCTTTCATTTGAGTACCCACATGCATTTTTGATATATGTTTCATATATATATATATATATCAAAAATATAAGCTCATCTTGATGTTATACTCATCAACAGCTTTCATTTGAGTACCCACATGCATTTTTTATATATTTTTCATATATACATATATACAATATATATAAATATATAAAATATATGAAAAATTGATGTGGATATTCAAATGAAAGCTCTTGACGAGTGTAACATCAGGGTGAGCTTATATCTTAAAAAATGTCAATAGTTCACAAGATACAAGGTAATTTCTTAATTATCAACATTTTTGAATATATAAGCTCATCTTAAAGTTACACTCATCAAGACCTTTCATTTGAGTACCCACATGCATTTTTGATATATTTTTCATATATACATTTATATAAATACATATGATATAGATATAAATATATAAAATATATGAAAAATTGATGTGGGTACTCAAATGAAAGGTCTTGATGAGCCTAACATCAGGATGAGCTTATATCTTAAAAAATCTCAATATTTCTCAAGATACAAGGTAATTTCTTAATTAAGTACCAACCTGGTGCAATGAATACATCGCGTCATAACAGTCTTAACCAGTGGTCCAATATCCTTGTCCTCAACAGCTCTCTTTCCACTAAAGTCAATATCAGTGAACCTGCTGCGATCACTCCCAAAAGCCATGCTCTGGTCCTGCAAGTCGCACTCGCCTCCCTGATCACAAATAGGACAATCCAAAGGATGGTTCACCAGCAGGAACTCCATAACACCCTCTCTGGCCCTGCGAGTGAGGTCAGAGTTAGTCTTGACCCTCCAGCCCTTCATGACAGGCATCGCGCAGGCTGCCACTGGCTTCAGCTGCTTCTCGATCTCCACCAAGCACATCCTGCAGTTCCCAGCGACTGCCAGGCGCTCATGGTAGCAGAACCTGGGGATCTCTATCCCGATCTTGGCCGCTGCCTGGAGAACTGTCGTTCCAGGCGGAACCTGGACTGGCTGGTCGTCGATGAACAGCTCCACTAGTTCCTTCTGCTGGCACACGCTGCTTGTTGACAGACTCTTCGCCAGTCTGCTGGAGGACAAACCAGCGGTCTGTGCTCCTCTTAGCACCTGGGGAACCCGCAGCATTTTTCTGTAAACAACAACACTTATGTAAGGCCTGTAAATAATTTAATTAACCTAATTTTATTACTTAGCACTCCACTGGAATTTTTTTTAGGTTTTTTGCCCAGCAAAAAACAAACTAAGTTTCAAATCAGCTGATAAGCCGATTGGATTTTTATTTATGCGCAGTTTTTAATTATAGATTTATTGGCTTACCTATTTTTTTGCAATACTTCAAGCCTAACTACGTTCTTTTTCAGGCTCAGACAGATGTAACATGAAATTAACTCATGATTTTTGATACTGCATTACCGACTGTCAGGTAAGTCACTTTTTATAAATAATTATTTATTTTTTTTTTTACTAAAATTTCTTATGACATATTAATATATTAAAGTATTAAAGTTAGCTGTCACTTTACAAATTTTTAATTTTATTTAAATATTAATTAATTCTAAAAAATTATTATAAAAAAAAAATTTAATTAAAAAATTCTACAAGTGAAAATTTTATGAGAAATTGAAGTTAGCCGACATTTCAAAATTTTTATAAATTTTTTATTGAAAAAATTTCAATTAGACAATTAAGAAAAAAATTTTCACATGTAAAAAATTTGAAGAACTATAAGTGCAATTTTTTATAAATATTTTTTCAGTTGTAATTTAATTAATAAAAAAAAAAATCAAAATTTGTTTCTGCTAACTTCAGTGTCATAAAATTTTTAGAAATAACTGAAATAACACTTAATTATTAAATCAGAACTAAAAAATATTTTTTAAAAATTGCACTTACAGTTTTTAAAGTTTTTTACAAATGAAATTTTTTTTTTAATATTTTGTAACAATTTTTTTATTATAATAAAATTCTAAGAATTTTTAGATACCGGGGTAACTTACTTAATTTTCATTTTTTAGAAGCATTTTTTTATTGATTAATTTGTTATGAAAATAAAAAAAAATTGACAGTTGTCAGCTAACTTCAGTATCATAAAATTTTTTATAAAAAATATTAAGCTGAAGTTAGCTGTCAATTTTTTGAATTTTTACTACAAATAAATTACTATTAAAAAAAAAAAATTAAAAAAAAGCCAACAAATAAATTTTTTGACATCTACAAATGGAATTTTTTAGAAAACATTTATTATAATAATTTATTTGTCAAAAAAAATCCTATGTCAGCGGACTTCAGTATTATTAAAAAATTGCAGATTTTTTTTCCATAATTAATTTGTTAATTAAAAAAATTATTAAATACTTTTAATTAATTTAAATTATAAAAAATAATTTTTATAGAATAATAATTAATTTTTTTTTAAATATAAATTTAATAAATAAATTATTAATAAAAAAATTCGACATTTAAAAATTAAAATAAAATTGCAAGTGTTAATTTTTAAATAAAATGAATCAGCTTATTAAAATTTCTTGATAATTATATAATTATATATAATATATGATAAATAAATAAAATTGTTAACTACACAACCGACAGCCATTAAAGTGTCAAGTCACCTAACCAACAATTTGGCGTCAATAGTAAGATGAGCGCGAAAGGCAACACTTTAGATAAACAAAATTCTCAGAACAAAAGAAACTCTAGTTACAGTTTACAGTGACAAGCTTTTCGAGGTAATGTAAACATATCAGATTTATATACTGGCTAAATAAATTCAATAAATAACCAATAAATACAACAAATTGTTTTATTTTTTTAAATAAATAAAACCACAAGAGTTATCAATAATATTGAATATTTATTTATTTATTAATTAGTTTTTTTTAACAATGGCTGAGACCAATAATAAAGAGGACAATCCTGATTCCGATGATCCAGTGGTAATTTTAAGAAAATCCGTAGGTAGATTTGATTATAAAAATTAAATTAGCTCTAGTGCCATTTATTTGTTAGTATATTTTAATTAATAATGTTAATTTATTTTAGTGGTGCGATTACTTCGAGTTTGAAGTCGAGTGTCCAGTGTGCTATGACATTCCAGAGGGAAATATTTTTCAATGTACAGAAGGACACAGCTTTTGCCATATTTGTGTTAAAAAAGTTGATGTATGTCCGCTGTGTGACTCTAAGTTCACTGGAACACGAAACCGAGTCCTGGAAAAACTAATTCCTAAAATTATCGAATTTAAGGTATTTTTTTTTTAATTATTCTTAGATAGCTGACAATTTTTAGAGATTTTTTAATAAATAAATTTGAAAAATTTTTTATTTTTCGAATTATATTGTCAAATTTTTTAAATATAAAATTTTACAATTTTCCTATTAATTTTTTCAAAAAAAAAAGCTGGCAACATTAACATTTTTAAAAATATAAGCTCATCCTGATGTTACACTCATCAAAAGCTTTCATTTGAGTACCCACATGCATTTTTGATATATTTTTCATATATAAATATATGAAATATAAATCAAAAATGCATGTGGGTATTCAAATGAAAGGTCTCGATGAGTCTAACATCAGGATGAGTTTATATCTTTAAAAATGTCAATTATTAAGAAATGATCTAGTATCTTGTCAACTCCTGACATTTTTAAAGATATAAGCTCATCCCGATGTTACACTCATCAAGACCTTTCATTTGAGTACCCACATCAATTTTTCATATATTTTATATATATATGAAATATATATCAAAAATGCATGTGGGTACTCAAATGAAAGATCTTAATAATTGCTACATCAGGATGAGCTTATCTATGAGCTATATCTTTAAGAATGTCATTAGTTCTTAAGATACAAGGTCATTTTTTAATTATTGACATTTTTAAAATATAAGCTCATTCCGATGTTATACTCATCAAGAGCTTTCATTTAAGTACCCACATCAATTTTCCATATATTTTATATATTTATATATATATTATTTAACAATTTAACAATATAACAATTTAACAATGTAATATTTTAATGTAATTGTTGTACATTGTACTAATTTATATTTTCTCTGTGTGCAATTATTGTAAAGGAACTCTGTAATTGGCTCAAAGCTGTTGAGTTCATTATTCATAAATAAATAAATAAATAAATAAATATTATATATATGTATATATGAAAAATATATCAAAAATGCATGCGGGTACTCAAATGAAAGCTCTCGACGAGTGTAACATCAGGATGAGCTTATACACGGAAAGAACAAGATGACACTGGATACCATCTCAGATTATACTCAGTGACATCTGAGGTGAAAAAAAATTTCAGATGGTAGCTAGCATAATCCAGATTATACTGAATAATATCTGGATTATACTCATTGTTATCTGAATTATACTAGCTACTATTTGAAATTTTTTTTCACTCAGTATAATCTGGGATTATATCCAGTATAATCTTGTTCTTTCCGTGTATCTTTAAAATTCTCAATATTTCTTAAGATACATGACCTTTTCTTAATTATGTATCTGGAGAATTTTTTAATGCAGCCAAAATTATTCTTATTCTCTTAATAATATAAATTCTAAAAATTGTCGAATGTCTTAATTTTTTATAAAATTTAATGTTTGACAATTTTTTTATTTAAAAAATAAATAATTGTCAAATATTTAATTAAAAAAAAAATTTTTTTAAATAACTAAAAAAAACATACCTTAAAAAAAATCCAGGAATGTTTGATGGATCCATCAAAGGAGACCGAAAAATGCTTACGGGTCAAGAAAGTCTGTCGCTCGACACAAACACTAGAGGGTAACGTGGTAACGTAGACTAAAACAATAACTAACACTTTTAAAAATACTAAAATAAAATAATTTATTAGAACCCTCTGAGAAGAAGCTCGAGGCTGTGCCAGAAGCAGTAGGCGATGATAATAACAATAATAATAATAAGAGTGAGGAAAAATAGTATAAAAAATTTATAAGCATAAAATTAAATGTTGCAACTTAATGCAACATTTAAGAAATCTTCGAATGCTATTGTTATAACTCCAGTCTGGTCAATGTCCTTAGCCCGGAACGCTTCTGGAAAATTTAAATATATTTTTAAGTTTTGTATTTTTATAAAAATAAATAAATAAATAATTACCGGTAAATTTTTGGATTTGAACGCATAAAACAATGAACTGGTCGACTGTAATGCTGGAGTGGTCATTAAAGTCGCTCTTTTTTATTAAATACTGGATAAATTCTGGTGAGAACCTGTACCCCATCTGCGTGAGCGCAGCTGATAGCTCGTTTTCTTGGATGCTGCCAGAGTTGTCGCGGTCGTACCCCTTGAACACGCCTAGCCAGGCGTTTATGTAGGTGTAGAGAGCTTGGAACTCGTTCAAGTCAATTGTTCCTGTTTTTTCTTTGTCAAACATTCCTAGAAAATTAAAAAAAAATTTCATTTTTTTTTTTCGTAAAATTTATAAATATTAAAAAATGTTTTTAAGAATTTGCAATTTTTATTTTGAAATATATGTACGAAAGGATCTTGTATCTTAAGAACTATTGACATTTTTTAAGATATAAGCTCATCCTGATGTTACACTCATCGAGACCTTTCATTTGAGTACCCACATCAATTTTTCATATATTTCATATATATTATATATATGTGTATATATGAAAAATATATCAAAAATGCATGTGGGTACTCAAATTAAAGCTCTTGATTAGTGTAACATCAAAATGAGCTTATATTTTAAAAAATGTCAATAATTAAGAAATGACCTTGTATTTTGAGAACTATTGACATTTTTTAAGATATAAGCTCATTTCGATGTTACACTCATCAAGACCTTTTATTTGAATACCCACATCACTTTTTCATATATTTTATATAAACATATATATCATATATATATATTAAATATATATATATATATATATGTATATATAAAAAATATATCAAAAATGCATGTAGGTACTCAAATGAAAGCTCTTGATGAGTGTAATATCAGGATGAGCTTATATCTTCAAAAACGTCAATAGTTCTCAAGATACAAGCTAATAATTAAAAAAATTCTTACCAATCATTAAATTACAAGCGGTATCAGAAAACGTTCCACCTCGGCCATTAGCTAGCGCTGCTTTCAATTCTAATGCTGAGATTTTTCCACTGTGGTCTCTGTCCACAGCTTCAAACCACTGTCTCACTTCTGGCTGGACCTGGTTGTCGCTCATTGTCCCGTACATTGGTCCCTAATTAATTAATTAACTAATTATTAATTAAGATAGTACAATTTTAATTTTATCAACTTACTGGGTATGACATTCCTGATGATGACTCAATTTTTCTTAATTAATTCCTCTAAATAGATTAATTAATTAATTAGACACTTTTTTTATTTATTAAAAATTTACAATATTTAAAAACTTACCTTTTAAATTTTAAATAATTTTTTTTTTTTAATTATATATTTATTTTAATTTTTGGCTTATAATATATAAAAACTTGTTTATAAGCAACGCGCAACTTGTATGTCGTCTGAAGTCTGCTGCAGAAGTGAAGTAAGTTGAAGTTTGCTCATATCTAATAGAAAAAAAAAATTAATTGGTATTTTTTTAGAATTTATATAAATTCTAAACTAGAAAATTTTTTTTCTAAAATTGCAATTATTATTTTTTAGATCTAAAAAAATTTTTTTAATTAATTTTTTTGTTCAAAAAAATAAATTTTCTGTGATAATACTGAAGTTAGTCACTAGTCAACTGACTCGAAAGTTTAAATCGACAAAGATGGCAGCACTTGTTAAATCGATAAAAAAAAACTATCGATATAATGATATGCATTTTTTGAAAAAAAAATTGCCATGTAGACGCCCACGCACCACACGGCAAGGTTGTTTATTTTCCTTGATGATAATAAATATAATAAAGTCATTACACCGTCTGTCAAAATTAAATTATTTTTTTAGTGCAACTAAAAATTCCAGGAATTTTTTTACTAGTAAAGTTAAAATAAACAAAATGTTTTCTTACCCTGAAGCTAAGAGGGACAATACTGTTGATGTTTATCACGGAGTTGAGGTTAGTGTTTTTATAATTAAAAAAAAAATTATTTTTCAATAAATTTATTATTTTTTTTTTTTTATTTATTAAAAAAACATAAGTGCAATTATTAAAAAATATTTTTTATAAAAAATGTAAATAGTAATTAATATTTTTTATATTATTCAGATCAAAGACCCGTACCGCTGGCTAGAGGACCCAGAGGCTGAAGAGGTCAAGGCGTTTGTTGATAAACAAAACGCTTTGTCACGGCCATTCTTATCGACCTGCGAGTCGGTCGAGCCCCAGGTGATTCTAGATCGTCTTAAGCAGCTCTGGGACTTTCCTAAGTATTCTTGTCCGAAGAAACACGGGAATAAGTATTACTTTTACAAGAATTCTGGCCTGCAAAATCAAAGGTAATGTTTTTTTTTTTATGAAATTAAAAAAATATTTTTTATTTTAATAATCATTCTTGAGATTTTTTTAATTTTTACTGCTTCGTTGGTGATGAATAAAATTTATATAGCATATATATGACATTAAAGATGAAAATTAAGTTACTCGACATCTAAAAATTTTTAGAATATTTTTTTATTGAAAAAATTAAGAAATGCAATTTTAAAAAAATATTTTTTTTTTTCTAATTTAATTATTGAAAAAAAAAATATGTCGGCTAACTTTAGTGTTATCATTAAAATTAGCAATGACTACACGGAAAGAACAAGATGACACTGGATACCACCTCAGATTATACTCAGTGACATCGGAGGCGAAAAAAATTTCAGATGGTAGCTAGTATAATCCAGATTATACTGAATAATATCTGGATTATACTCATTGTAATCGGGATTATACTCATTGTTATCTGGATTATACTAGCTACTATCTGAAATTTTTTTTCACTCTGTATAATCTGGGATTATATCCAGTATAATCTTGTTCTTTCCGTGTAGAGAATTTTTTAATTTTTTTTATCAAAAAAATTATTTTTTAAAAAATTGCATTTTTTATTTTTTAAAATTTCTACATGTCATTTTTTTTTTATATTTTTTTTTTTGCCATAATTTATTTGTTAAAAAAAATGATTAAATATCTGCTTTTATTATTATTATTATTAATCATCATAATTAATTAATAGGCAGCTAAAGAATTTTATGACATTGAATTTTTATGTTTAATAAAAAAATTTGTTCTAGAAAATTATTTAAAAAAATTTTATTTTTAATTAAAAAAAATTTTTTTTTGCCGTCATTTATTTGTTAGAAAAATTATTAAATTAATTTTTAAAATTTTACAATAAATAAATTATAAAAAAAATTTTTTTTAATTAAAAATTTATTTTTTTAATAAAATTTTACTGAGTAAAAATGTATTATTAATTAAATAACAAAAATTTCAGTGTAATTTACTCACAAAATTCTCCAACGGAACCCGAAGAAGAAGCTAAAGTATTCTTCGACCCGAACACGCTGTCCGATGACGGGTCAGTAGCAATTTCCACGACTGAGTTCAGCAAGGATGGAAAAATCTTCGCGTACGGATTGTCCAAAAGTGGTTCAGACTGGAGCGAGATCCACTTTATGAACGCAGAGACCGGGGAGAAGTACCCCGAGGTTCTGGAGAAGATCAGGTACTCTTCAATCGCCTGGACTCATGATAACTTGGGAATTTTCTATGGAACCTACCTGGAGCAGCAGGGAACCGTCGATGGGTCTGAGACTCTCGGTGCTCGGGACCAGAAGCTCTGCTATCACAAGATTGGAACTCCGCAGTCTGAAGATGTGATTGCTGTGGAATTTCCCGAAGAACCTCTTTGGAGAATGTAAGGCCTTAATTTTAGATTTTATTTATTTATTTATTAGTTGATTTTATTTATTTATTATTTTTTTTGTTGCAGAGGTGCTGAAGTTTCTGACTGCGGCGAATATTTAATCGTTTCACCGCGCAGAGATTGTAGAGACAATTTAATTTATTTCACAAAGCTTCCCGAGGATAAAAAAGTTGAGAATCTTAAAAGCTTAAAGCTTACTAAGGTTGTTGAAAAATTCCAAGCTGATTATGATGTAAGTATAAATTTTTAAAATTACGGGGGAGATATTGGTCTAAAAAAAAAAAAAATTATTAAACCAAAGTTCAAAATTTAATTTTTTAAAAAAATGTTTCTTATGATTATTTCTACCAATATTTTCGCTGCAATTCCAAGAAACCGTTTATAATGAAAGGTTCAAGATTTTGTAATCATTATAAAATTTACTTTTAAAATTTCGGTGAAATTTTAAATTACTTTCTTAACCATTGACTTTTTTTAGGATATAAGCTCATCCTGATGTTACACTCGTCAAGAGCTTTCATTTGAGTACCCACATGCATTTTTTATATATTTTTCATATATAGATATATAAATATATAAAATATATGAAAAATTGATATGGGTACTCAAATGAAAGGTCTCAATGAGTGTAACATCGGGATGAGCTTATATCTTTAAAAATGTCAATATTTCCCAAGATACAATATCATTTCTTAACAATTGACATTTTTAAAGATATAAACTCATCCTGATGTTAGACTCATCGAGACCCTTCATTTGAGTACCCACATGTATTTTTGATATATTTTTCATATATACATATATAATATATATATATATATATATATA